AGAGGATCGTACACTCATCATATAGATACAGGGTTTCTTCCCATAGCCATTCATTCGTCATACTCATCAATCCACACACAATAACCCCTGCCTGTCTAACTAATGCTCGACAAATAATTACTATTTCATCGACTACTAGCTATACTTCGTTTCTCGGGTTAATGGCACCCTGTTACTGAACTTTCATCCCTATCTCTTTATATGTATAGGTTAATACTCTTGGTCTAGTTCCTCCGCTATCTTAGAAGTCGATGGGGACGAAAGAGTTAAACCCCGGATGCGTGTTGACTTGCATTTTACCGACCTTCCAGTCCGACCAGGGTTCCTGTGCGAGGGCCAATCCTATCTGAGCCTGCCAGTAGAGCTACAGGAAGGCCGTGTGCGCCGGGGAAATCTTCCTTAACGTTACCCTGCGCCACGCGTAGCATCCGTGGCGTCGCCGCCCTTGGCTTATGTCTCCGAGTCGAGTTCCAGGTGGTTGTAGGCATTCATAACGTTGTAGTTTGGCTCCTGTGTTGCCCGTTGACTTCTGCTTGGGATAAGTTTCACCGCCGTGGGCGTTGTCGGGGGAGTCTTCGGCTTCGTTCGCCACATCTTCGTTCATGCTGCTACCGCCGGTGCTTCCGTCGCCGAGGCAAAAACTGGGGTTGCGGAGGGCATTGTCGTGAGCGTGCTTGGTACTGGGCTGGTGATTCTGGCCGGTGGAGGCAGGGGCGACCGCCGACCGCTGGCTACCGTCGGGTTGAGTGGCATTACACAGGGTGTCGAACGCTTTCTGTCCGGCGCGTCGGGTACTAGTCTGCTCTTCTCAACCAGGAGGGATGTCAGCCAAGAGATTTCGACGGTGAGTGGGTTGGGCCCAAGGCGGGAGGGTCGGGCAAGGACAGGCTTCTATCCTGTCTAGGCGAAAACTTCATCTTCCACAAGTGTGGCTGGGCCCAGGACGTCCCCGCCCATGCTGTGTAGTTGTTTTGGACATCGCGGCACAACGTAGGTGTAATACTTAATAGGCGTTTCGAATCGGTGGGCGTCGAAGCATTCCGCTAGCTTTTCCTGATTTGCAAGTAGTCTTTCCCGTATTTACTTGTTTAACGCAAAGAGTAGCCTATGCTGATTAATCAGTTTCTCGAGGGCTTGGATAACATAGGCAGTGGCTTCTTTCGCGATCTGCTTTCTGGAATCGTCAAAGCTGGCCTCAACGCTGTCGACGAATTGTGCAATTGTTAGATGGACGTCTTATCGTGTCTCGTATCATCTGCTCGAAGGAAGCACCGGCGCGCGTGTTCGAAACACATTAGCAATGCCTGTGAGAGTGGTTCACTACGCAACATCAACTGGTATGTCATGGTAAGTGAGTCGACGCAATAGCGGCGACGACCCATCAAACTACAATGCCGGATTGCCTCGGGTACTTCCCACACGTTGGAGAGCCTGCACAACGTTGAAGGAACGGGAGAAACACGTATAACCCCACCCTCTAGGAGAGCTTGACTATGTAGGCGCTGTTGGTTCTACGTTTACACTGATCCTCCTGCTTGCTTTCCTATCCTGCGCCCCTGGAACCATGCTTCCAAGCCGGCTCTACTGGCCTCCTGGGTAGCCCCTACCTTCGGCAGTCCCCTTGTAAACGATGTTGACGTTAAGAGTACTGGCATCACTATTGACAGCATAGAAACCGTCTTGGGCTTTCTTATTACAGTTGGCCCACCAACCGGGGCCATCAATGAAGTATCCATTCTGGCCGATGCACTACAAGATGTCAATGAGAGCAGAGGATAAAAAACGATGTGCCTTACCCTGCCGCTTCCGTGGTCGTATATAGCCTAGCTAGGTTAGTTTATGTGCAACTGCTCAACAGGTCGGAACGAACATTAGAAGGATCGTAGTTGTCCTTGCAAGTTTGCAAAGTGAGCATCCAATCGTATCTCAACGTGTGATCGTAGGCATGCATCCAGTGTTTTTTCCCGTTTTCATCAGTCCACGTGATATCCTTGGAGTAGCAGTCGGTAGAAACCCAGGTGTTCTTGGGGATACCTGCAAAGACCATGGGAACATGGGCGAAGGCCACAGCGGCAACGGTGAAGGTGGGAAAATGAACCATGATGGCAAAAGATGACGTTGACTCTGCTTTGGTATTGGAATTAAGAGAAGTGGGTGCGAGGGTAAACGTTACTTAAATACTTGGAAGGGTTCCATTAATTGTCCCGCCAGAGCATCAGTACAAAAACCAAACCAAGATGAAGCAAACCTCAAGTTTTATTAGGTCAAACTTAATTAGAAACTGAATTTATTAATACGAGGTGTTGTTTCCTTACCTTTATATAAATCTCCTTTCTAATTTACGGCAATTAACCCAAATCTAGAATGTAATGCCTGTTACCGGACACGCCTGCGCCTATATAGACTTTCTGAGGAATGTATCCAGGCGTTGATATGAAATTCTGCTAGCGCAAAGCAAAAAGAGCCACTTACCAGAAGCGGTAGGCTTCTGACAACAACATTATCAAACTTTACTCTGTCATGCACTCGGTAGCCAAGATAACGTCGCCGACGATGCATTTCATCATCCCCGACTCGTTTGATGCGGTTCGTATGTATTCTTAGCTGGCCTTTTCTTTATTTAAATATCTGTAGTCCCACCTGTCACAGCACCAACTTGTGGTCACGAACATTCATCATTCCTATCAGTCCATTACAACTATTCTTTGCACCTAGCCTGGGCCGACAATATGCGATACTTTCAAGTTTTTGGACTTCTGGTCAGCTTGGCCCTTACGGCAGCCGCTCCGTCTCCAGTTTCAAAGCCAAACTCTGGAGTCGTACTTTTCGAGCGCGGCAACCCCTTTACATGCTTTTTCCCCAGCCTTCCGGGCCCAAGCCGGCTTCGAGACATCAATGCACTCCTTAATACCGAGATTGAACATACGCACAACGGTCCGATGCCCGACCAATCTCTCTGGCCCCTGCACGACATGGCTGGCTCGCGGGCCATCAGAATGGCGGCGTTCTCATACTTCAGACCAAATGCAGTTGGAGGTCGAACTCGGTATGCTGTTGTTCGCGTCCAAAATACTGGCAGTGATATCCGTCACGTCGAAATCGGATTCATGACCCTAGGCGGACAATATGTCTGCGCAGCGCCATCGACAGCGGTTCCGTCTGGAACACCTAGAAGGCCTGGCACCGTTGATCTGGTTTTCCGTATGGAGACAGGTAGAGATTATGAGTATGCGATTCAGTAGACTCAAGACGAGGTATGTCACAGCCTTGTCCCCGGGCCTACATAGTTAAAATACATCAAGTGCGATGGTTAACCAAATTTGAAAACGTCAGTTATGTCGCTACCAGTGGCATGAATAGCAACTTGGTTCCTGTACGCTTCAAAACATACGAAGTCAGCCCGCTGCTTTTCCCACTTCTTGAAGACAAGTGTCTGGTCGGGTCCCCCGACGGGGACGCATGACAATCACTTGGGGAGTGTGGGGTAAAAGGAAGCTAGCGCCCAGAACAAAGCCTGTCATTGCCCGCCGATTTTGCTCAGACTTTAGCGCTGCTCCTTATCAATAAGTCTATCTGCAGGTTCTAGTCGTATGTCCGACATAACCGCTCAGAATAAGCGTAATTCAAGAGTTTGTTCGTACATATATCACCGGAATATTACCTTGTATTCCTTCGAAGGGCAGTCTCCTTAGGCCAAATTTCGCTAGCAAAGGCTGTGAGCGTTCAACTATCCTCATATAAAGTGAAACCCAAGTACAGTTGTACCAAATTCTATCGATAAATTCTGATTCAAGTCCAAGCTTTGAACAAGATGATTCGCTCATGACCCGCTTCCCTTTGGCTTATCCAAGAGTTACTTCTTAGGATTTCCCTTACCAACCACGTTAGTCCAATCGTCATAATCTACCACTTCGACGCTATAATCCAGCAACTCCTACTTAGTTTCAAAGCACTATGCACAGAAGTCCAAAACATCACAGTTCACCATTTCGGTTAGGATAAGCATTTATCTATCATATCCGTGTCCACCTATATAGGACAGTCGTAAAGTTTCATCAGGTTCCTCGTTAAGTGAATCCTCTATGGAACATTTAATAGCACTCTCTCCTCATCTCTAAAGACGTTTTCATAGTAATCGGCATAAGAAACCAATGCTTTGGTTACCGCAGTGAATTGATCCTCATCTGTATTGATAGCACACAGTACCTGAGCCCTACGAGGAAATGATATAGCTAGAATTGAACCACAAACCAGCTTGAGGTCCGCTGAGTCCGCAGGACCTACGAAAACGCACTGTATGATTGTTAGTCGACGTTCGGGGTGTTTTAGATGCCTGAATCTAATCTCATCCTCCCTGATCCTATGTTACAATGAGCTTGTGTAGGTTAGTAAAGGCACAGGTAGCTACTTCACTTGAAAACTTATAACGCTGGGCCCGTAGTTGTTGTTGAAAGTTTACGCGGGGAGCTGCTAGTGATATTTGAGATCGCGGTTTGCGTCTATGTAATTCCCGTTAATTGTGATATCGGGCATATAATAAATAGTCAAAAAGAATCTAGCAGGTTGTTCTAATGGCTTGCACGGAAAGAGGAATAGCGACGAACGCAAAACAGTGACTTAGGGAAGAGCATGTTGAAAATGCTGGGTTTGTGGGTGTGTAATTGATAGATGGTGCTGTGAATAGATGGACTTGAGTAGTGACTTTAAGAAGGTGGTGCCTTGAGTATATGATACGAGGCCTATGCTATTTATATCCATATCGAGGTTGGGTGTAGGAAATGGAATAGATCAAGTGTGAAAAGGCAATAAGGCGGTGTTCGCCGCTTGATCAAAAGGATCACGACAGCACGCTGCATCACTCGGTAAAAGACGCGGCTCCACAGAAACGATACATATTAAATACGATAGAAAGACGATGATCCGGATTACAAATAACCAGGCGAGAAAGACCTAGTCAACACGTACCTGTCACAAATATACTTCACACACAAATCGATCACCTACAACTTGACATTCGGGATCTCAAACGTCTGTACCATCTTGCTCGGGAAGTAACTCCAAAATCTAGTCCCGCTCATGACAGTGTCGCTCGACTGCACATACCGGTCCCCAGTCCCAATCTGTGTCCTCCACCGGGTCACAGCCGCCCCGTCAGTTGCTGCCTGCGTGAACTTACTCAGATCAAAGTTGAGGTACTGAGCGTCGCCCCAGTTAACGGCCACGATGACGAGCTTGGAGTTGACGGCGTCGTACGCTACCACCACGTTGTCCGCACCACCGTCCAGGATCTGCATGCCCTCGCGGATGTGACGCGCGAACTGCGCGAGCACAAAGTACTTCTGGTTCGCGGAGCCCAAGGTTCCGGCCTCATTGTCCGCATCGATGAGGCCCCAGCCGCCGCCGTCAAGAACCTGCCAGTACGCCCAGCCTGTCGGGCGGAGCCAGCGGAAGTCGAGGATCACGTTGCTCACGAGGCGCTCGCCTGTTGCGTCGTTCTCGCCGTATTCGGAGTTCCAAAGACGGAGGCCGCGCGCCGATGCGAGGGAGTAGACCTCGTCTCGGTCGCCGTCTGCGTACTGGTACCCGTGGACGTTGATACGACCCACGTTCTTGAGAGCGACGTCGCCAAGGTCCCGGAGCGTGGTGGCGGCGTGGTCGTAGTAAGACTCATCCGAGGCGGCGATGGCCATGGTCGAGAGGCCGCGGTTGTTGAGCTCCGTGCGGAGGTAGTTGATGATGGTCGCCTGTGTGGCGACGTCGATGTGACAGCCCTCCTGAGTGCCGTCGGCCTTCCACCAGTTGGCAGTGGGCTCGTTGAAGGGCTCGACCGTCTCAAAAGTGATGCCCCAGTTGTCCTTTGCGTACTGTGCAATATTGGCCATGTAGATGGCGTGCTGTTGCAGGTTCCACGACTGGATGTTCTCGCTGCCGTCATCCGAGCCTGACGGGTTGTGGTTCTTAGTCGCCCACCACATGGGCGAGTTGGAGAAGAGCTCGAAGTGGTTGGCGCCGCGCGTCTTGGCCTTCTGCATCATGGTGCGCTGGCTGACGTCGACGTCCCACTTCCAGGCGCTCGAGGATGGATCGGAGTTGGTATAGTCGACCCAGTGCCCGTCCATCTGACGGGACTTCATCATCTTGGTCGAGACAACCATGCTCTCGCCGTTGATGCTGTTGGTGCTGCAGGCACCGGCGTTGTGACGGACAATGTTAAAGCCGAGACCGGGCAGGCTCGCGCCGCCGAAGGTCGTGGTTTTGGTCGTGAAGAAGATGTCAGCGAGGTCATCACGGGTGCCAAAGGCCTTTGCCCACCAGGCGAGAGAGGTTCCCCATCCTTCCCACGTGCCGCGGTTGGACTTTGCGTCGATGGTGCTCGTTGTGTCGGCAGCGACGGGGAAGACGGTGACCAGGCCTAGGGCCACGACGGCGAGGGGCTTGAAATACATGGCAACGGAGGGTGAGAAGTCGGGGCCTGCTGGACAAAAGATCAGGGTGCAACTCTGCAACGCATCGTCTTCTTATGCTGCCATAATCGTCGACACGTAACTCCGCTTTCCGAATGGATATGACGGGCAGGGCCACTGACTCGGCTGTCGGATACTCGCATGTTACGGAGTAGAGTGCCGTCGTAAACGGGAAAGGCCGGACCCGATGAAGGCGTCTGACTGCAGACGGTTGAGGTGGGATAATGAGATGTTCACCTCCTTACGATCGTTATTCAATCACGCGCTGCTGGCGGTCGTCAAACGGCGATCGGCTCGCCCAGGGGCAGCCAGCTTCGGCCGTCTGGGTCCGGTATGGATATGGCACCGAGAGAGGGTAAAGATGGCGAAGAGACTTGAGCTCCAGGTGTGCCCCGCACTCTACCGAGGGAGCGAGGGGTTCGTTCTATGATTAGAGTTAGATTGCGTGGTATTGGGATCCGGCGGAGAGATTGGGATCTATTTATATTTGTGAGTAGTGAGGTGATACGATGGC